AAGCTGGGCGGGGGGGTGGCTGCTCGGGGACTGGCTGGGCATCGGTGGGTGGGTGGTGAGCAATTGCATTGTGCGTCACTTGCTTTGTATATTCTTCTTATTATTATTACTATTATTATTATTATTATTATTTTATTTTATTTCAATTATTAAACTGTTCTTATCTCAACCCATGAGTTTTCTCACTTCTACTCTTCTGATTCTCTCCTCCATCCCACTGGGAGTGGGGGGGGAGTGAGCGAGCAGCTGTGTCATGCTCAGTTGCCAGCTGAGGTTAAACCATGGCAAGTATTCACCCAGAACGGTGGAGAGCTAAGATTCAGTTCTGTCCTCTACTTGTATGTGACTTTTTCCAGAAGTTAATCAAACTCACCAAGTCTCAGAATACTTCTAAATAAGACTTTGTTACATTATTTGGATGACAGATGCAAAATCACGATTCTGTAGCAAACTAACTAGGGAACTTACTGGGATTGGGAATACTGGCATTTCAGTCCTCCTCGGCTAGGAGGTTATAGCTCACAGAATTCAGTGCATGAAAATCTGGTACCTGAATTTTTTGTTCTTAAGATATAGTATTTTATTTGCTGAATATTCTGTAAGTTAGTTCAATATTTATCAAGTTCAACAAAAAATATATTGGTGATAGACTGTTGCAAATGGATGCTGCTGGGATATGTAACAGCTGTATTCTGAACTATGCACTAATGATTTTGTGAGATCAGAAACCATAAAAAGCCCCTGGAGCTCCAGTACCGCTGAGTGAAGGGTGATGCCTCTGTGGCCAGGTACTGCACAAACACCCAGAGACAGTGTTTATAATCCCATGTCACCTGATCCTTCACTGCATTGTTTTAAAAGGAAACATTTGAAAGGAGATGTTTCAAAGGAGTAATTTCTGACATTCCAAGTATTTTTTTGATGTTTACCATCAAAAATACTTCATCTTATGTCTTGGGTTCTTAACCTTTGTGAACTATTTATGTGAGTCAAAGGAGACAATGAAGAATTTCTGAATGAATTTCAGGATTCCTGTGCTACCGTGAGCTGTTCCACACTGTCAGAAATGGCATGCCGCTTGCATTTAGGAGTTCTGAGAATGTAAACTTACAGTTTGATATTTATAAAAAAAAGGTTGAGAAGGTGGTGTTTAGAAAATAAAAATAATACTGTCAGGTGTTTTGAGGTAAATCAATGTTGGATGAGGAACCACAGTAAGCCATGGGAGACAGAAGTGTCAAAAGAAGCAAATAAGCAAATGTGTCCAGCAGATACTACTGTCTAGACTATGGGATTTGGCTCCAATTACCAATGTTTTCTCCATAATCTCTCTCGTTAGATAAAGGGACAACTCATTTCCTTTACATATGAAAAACAGATTTTTTTCCATACAGTTTTAGGTGTTTATTTTGCTTTGACATAAAAAGCAAATTGCAAACAAAATGTCAGCATGAAAGCAAGCCCCAGTGGAAATAACCCTGGGTGTATATAATGGGGATGGCAAAGAATCCACTGGAAACTGCACAGACTGGGTATACCTGACTGCTCATTATATCTTTCAGCAACTGTGTTAGGTAGGGGTTAGGTGGCCTGAGACTTGGTGATTTTTCTTTTCTTTCCTCCCCCCATCTTCTGACCTTTGTTCCACAGAAGAAAACAACCAGTTTGCAGGCTGGAGGCTGAATATGCTGAGTGAAAGCAGTGAAAACCCCAGGTACTTTACCAATTGCTGCCTGGCCAGGTTGGGCTTTACCTTTTAGTCTGAAATAAGAAATGAATCAAGAAAACTGCAATAACGAAAGTAATTGTCTTTAATCTCAGGGGATGACATTGCCATCAGCTCGTTGAGTCACTGGAGCAGAGCCAAGCTTTGTCTGTTTCTGTCTACCATCTCCTTCCATGTAGGTAAAGGAGTGAAGCCCATTAACTGTATCTGGTCTTCTGCATCTGCAACTCAGGTGCAGGGACTGAGGACAGTAGCACATAGCGGGTAAAACTCTGGCGTACATCTGAAAGGTTTGTCTCCTCTGCAGTACCTCATTGTGTATTCTGTAGCTTTGTTTGTATATGAAGTGAAATCTTAGCAATACAGGAGCTCACTACAGCCTCCTGCTATTAAATGTTTCCCTTGGGAGGAGGAAAGAGGCTCCTGTTTTGCATAAGAATTATGAGATGGACTATTAGCTCTGTTGTAAATTAAAGAGTAATTGCTTTCCCTGTCTGCTTTAATAAATCTCATGTCAAAAACCCCAAATCTGCAGGCATTACACGGAAATCACATTTGCCTAAAATTTCCCTGGAAATAATTCTTCTCACTTAGGAGTAAATGAGGAACAACAAAAAAAAAGACTTTATTCCTCAGACAGCCCGAGAGACATTTTGCTGTATTTAGGGCTATCATAATTACATCCATAGTGAGCAACTGAATTTAAACAAAGGGAACAAACATTTCACTGATTTTGTGTGCATGAGAGAGAAGGATTAATATTCATGATAAGGAATGGGTTTTTTTTCTTTTTTTCGGTCCATTACTTTAAATATGAAAAGGCAAGCTCTTTATCATACGCTCTTGCAGCATACACTCCTAGGTGATGAACAATGCCAAGCACAATAGCTACGGAGGTATTGTTCGTACATGCTGCTGAAAGGAATGACATCCCACTTCTCCATCACATTACAACACCCCAGGCTACATAGCAGAACAGCAGCCTTCTTTCCTTGCAGACTTCACTGGGCTGCTTAATACCCTCACCTTTTCCCTGTAGGATAAAACCTGGAGCAGGAGCTGCCATCCCAGGCGCAGTACGGATCTCGGGCTAGGCAGCAGTCAGCGCAGGCTGTCCCGTAGATGTGGCAGCGATGCAAGGATACCTGGGTGACCCCTTCGTCTGAGCTCACGTACAACTGTTGCTGTAGAAGGAAATGGAAAGATTTATTTCAGATGTGGAGGAGCTTCACCCGAGACTCAGCTAACACACCTAAAAACCTTTCAATTAATTTTGGAATTAACTCAAGGCCAAGAGGGGAGCCACTAATATATATAAAGCCAAGATAACAGAAATCTCCCAGGCGAACAGGCCTATAATATTTCCACGTTCCTGTTAGAAAACACTTAGAAACACTGGGGATTTTTAATGTTTTTTGGACATTAAGTGTCATTGTTCTGTTCTGGGGCAGACAGGCTGAGTTAATATTGTTCAGATTTGAGAACTTTGTTCTTATTCAGTGAGGATTATTGGCTCAAGCCTTTGAACTAAGTATTTTCTCTGCATATAGTCACTTTAATAAATATTATGCAGAGTTCCTAGTTGGATTCTTCAGAGCATAGATTTCCAAGAAATAAAACCTAGAGATTATGTCGAGGCTTAGGGCCAGATTCTGATAGCCTTATATACCTGGAAAAATAAGCCAACAGAACTTTTATAATGAATGAGACCTTTTGCAAAAAAAGTTCAAAGTGAATAGGTCATCACCAAAATCTGGGCTAAAATGACTGTTTTACTCAGAAACAATTAATCAATTATTCTTAAAATAGAAATTAATATTGAATAAAAACCTTGAAACTCCCCTGATCTTTTTGTCATAAAACTAAAAGAATTCAATTTAGTGAATAATGTTTACTTATTAGTAGTTTTGTAAAATATTGAGCAACATGTTGCTTGTAAAATCATGGAATACATATTTTTAGTTTGGGTGTTTAACATTTCAGCAGAAATCCTCTCAGCTGTTTTCATCACTCTTACTACCATCGTTATTACTAATACACAAACACGCACAATTGCACCATGGACCCAACAACCCCAACACTGCCTTTTTGCATTGACTAGACTTCCAAGGGAAAATTTCTATTTAGGACTTTTACAGAAAAAAAGAGGAGGGAAAATTTCCTCTTTTAGTGCTTTTTTTTCCCTTACTTGTCAAACAAAACAACAAAAAAATTTACACTTTCAGTGAATTAGAAGTGATACATAATGATTAGAAATTGTTTTATCTTAGTGGCTCTGGGGCACATAAACAGCTCATGCAAACTTCAGTCAAGTTTTTCCATATTCATTATGGAAAATCTGCCTATATTTAGTATGCTGCACAACAATTGGTATTCTAACATCTTTAAGTCAATTTATTTCTCAGTTAATAAGCACTAAGTAAGCATTCCACTTTTCTTTACCTTTTTAGATGAAATCTTCATTGTTGTTATAGGAGAATTACTCTGAAAGACAAAATTCCAAACCACATTTACAAGGACTCTCTTGTTAATACTGTCTCGACATTAAAATTTAAAATTAAACAAAACCTAAGTCATATCTAAGAAAACTATAACTTTTCATATCTTGGAAAGGCATCACTCACTCCTACTAATTTTTTGCTATTTTCAGAACTAACAAATGACATAAATACAAATAATGTCTCACTAAATGTATTGGCTAAACTCAACTGCATTATTATTACTCATGTGCATCAACAAGTTTTTGCACACTTCTAATTAACCTGCATCTGTGTTACCTCAGCAATCTAGAAGCAATGTGTTTTGAAGCCATTACTCTCACTTTATAATAAGAAACAATGTTTGTTCTTGGACGATGATAATAAAGAAAAATCATACGATAGCTCACGCATATTTACCACATGATCCAGATAAGAATATGTCATATTTCTCCTACACATTATGTAAAGTGCATACAGTTTGGTTACCATCCAACATATACTTTCAGATTATCAATGACTAGAATATTAAAAATGGCATGTGTGTTATTAAATGTTTCTTTCCCAGAGACAGTACTCTGTACTACTGTGTGTCATTACTGCAGTCTATTATTGTCTGTGTCCAAACCAAATCTTAAAGAGCTGGAAAGGGAATTATCACATTCATTGCCTTAAGCAAGTGAAGCAATTAATTATTCTCATCCAAACAAATGATAAAATTGATGGTAATAAAAATGTTCAGCATTTTTTGAAGATTTAGCATTTTCTCAGTCACAAAGGAAAGCCACAACGGTGGGCCAGGATTAATTGCAGTGGACTACAAGCAGAGCAAGGAGGCCAGGACTAGGAAATCTGGCTGCGAATCATGTGAATTGGCAAAGGTTTGAAGGAGTTTAGAGCTGCTGCAGTATTTCATGAGTCTGGAGACTCAAGGTTAAATGCAACATTGGATCTGATGCCACATTCTCCTTTCCTTGCTTATACTCTGCAAAGGAGTTGGTGCTTTGCTTACTCTCGATACTTACTAGCACACAGCCAGTGATCTCATTCGCGCTGTCTTGGAGAGACTCATCAAAATACTGCCATGCTGCCCGCACAGATTGCAATGGCAGAGGTTACGATATCATGATTTTGAGGGTTCAGGATAAAAAAGTCTGCGCAGAGAGGCCCAGAAATTAGGTTTAGGGTCAGGATTCCTCTCAGCCCACCTATCTGCTTGCTGTATTAATTTACCTTTCAGTAAATGGAATTAGTAATACTTGGGTGAAGGGTCCTCTTTAGGTAATATTACTCACACAGATCTTTTTTAAAGGGAAGTCTTCAACAAAAGCCTAGGAAGGCTAATTATGCCTTTATGAGGGTTAACACAGAGTGTATTCCTTTTCTTAAAGGAATCGTTAATGCTGCCTGTCTCGATAAAAAAGCTTGAATCTTTTGTATCCTCTGAACGAAATAGAGAAAAGCCCATGACAAAACCCTTAACTAAGTTTATAGATGCATACTACCATTTGCCCCAAGACTACCTGTTTTAAAGAATAGCCCATTCAAAAATTTCAAAGGAGTTTTTCAACATGAGGGTGAACATTTTCTTTAGGTTATTATAAGCTGCTACATGCCATAGTGATTGACAGGGGCTATTCCCTTATTTCTCCCTGTAGTTGTTTGTGTTTCTTTTCAGCTTATGTTATGTTAAGCTTGTAGCTTTCTTGACTCCAGAGGCATGTGGCTTTGAAGAACTGGAGTTAAGCAAAAACAACACTAGTTTGCTTGCATTCTGCAGCTCAGAATCAGGAAGATTATCAGATAATCAAAGAAGTACAAAAGTCTTAGATTCCATCGGTAAATAGCGACAGTCTCAATACGTGATGCCCATGACAAAAGTTGCCTTCTGGCAGCCACTATAACACGACCTCGTAAAAGTGTGATTATCAAAATCCTTCTAGCCAGTATAACAAAATAAAAAATAGGCAACTTAAATATAGGGGAAAAAAAGGACTTAAGCTAGCTACAGCCTTCGTAACAGTGGACATTTTATATTCCTCTTTGGGTGGGTATCAAGCTGACAGTATGCACATTTACTTGATCTTTTATCAAGTCACAGTTGCCCTTGACAAAGTCTCTTAGAACAAAGTGTTTGTGTGAACATACACATTGGAAGAGTAAAAGTGGGAGCAAGCCAAACCTGAAAAACCTCCAGCTCTTCTAAAATGAGTTCTCCACTTGCAGAGAAATTGGTGGGTAAGACAACAACTTTTTGTACGGTTCCTTGATCTGGAAAAGATGAGAAAAAGTGAGACCATGTGACAGAGAAAGAAAGAAAAAAGCAGATGAACCATTATCAATTATGAAAAGAAACCATCAAAGCAACTATGACATAGAGAAAGGTAAGAAATGTTCAGTAATTTCAAGGGTTTGGGTTGAGAAAGAACCATGAGATGACTCCTTATATAGGAATACTATATATAGTATTATTCTCGTATATGAACATGAAGAAGTATGGTAAAATTGGTGTTGCTACCATTACTGTTACCATTCTACCCAAAAAGACCAATCAAAATCAGTATCTTCTGTACTAGTTGCTGTACAGACGCACAGACAGAGGCAGTATCTATCCTAATGATCTTAAAGTAAAAACACAGCAATATAAACAGGTAAAAGGGAGCTACTGCAGAATTTAATATATATTCATATTCATTAATAAAACATCATGACAACTGATTATATGAATGGTAAACTTTCCAAAGAATAACTCTATCTACACCTAAACAAAGTAAGATGAAAGCTTTTTTTTCCAGGAAAGTCAAACAATAATCAAGTCCATTACATATTGGTAGGAGTCAATATTTTGGTCCATAAGGAAAGAAGGAGAAGCAAGGTGAAGATATTGTAGCTACTCTATCATGTCTGCCCTCTCAAAACACAGTTCCAAGCCTCCCAAATCCACTCAGATCAAAGGAGTAACAAGTAAGAAGGATGGGGCAATGGCGGTGTTTTTGCAGGGTAGATGTGACGAGTGAGACCAAAGGGATATTTGTGATCAGTTTTCCAAATTTGTTATGTCGAAAGAATAGATGAGATGGAGGGGTCCATCTGGGAAGGCTCTTAAAGGCTGAGACAGCCACTGAAGTATTTCAGCAGAAAAGGCAGACTGTGGGAGAGGAGAATCACACGGACAAGCATTTTTACTTGGAAAAAGCACAGCACATAGAATTCCTCTTGCCTGAAAGGCCTGGAAATTAGTCTGAGTAGAATAAATTTATTTGCTCAAAATTGATTCTGAGGAATGAGACCACATGGTATAGATTCTGTTTGGACTTCAAAAGTTTTACAAGCAATCTCGACTTGTGTGGTTAGTAAAACATTTGTATAGCATAATATAGGTAAGTATCTACATGTATTTTAATGAATTTGTGTCCAAAGAAAGGAAATCTCAGCTTCCTGTTTGGCAATTCATGATGTAGACAACGTAAACTAAAAAAGGGCAATTTTGCTTTTGCTTTTAAGGTCAGTGACTAAATTCCATAGCTGGAGCTGCAGGGCAAGTTGGTTACAGTAAATAATTTACATCTTCTTATTTCCCTGGAGGAAGCCAGCAAATAATAATATATTTTATTTAAAAAATTAATGTTTAAAGCCAGAATATTGATATGTAATGACCTGACCACACACAGAGAGCACACTGCAGTATTTTGTCATTTAGAAAAAAAAAAGGAAAAGAGAAATTGAAAACTGACAAGACTTAAAAATGTGTAGCTATCAATTGTACATGCTCAGGGCACGTTAGGCATGAATTTTTCATGAGAATTTTCTATGGAGAACATTTATTCTCATTATACAATGGCATGATAAACCAGTTCCTTCCGAAGAAACTTTACTGAAACTAAATCTTGTGATAGCACAGCTGTGGTCTAGACTGGGTGCCAGTATTAGCAAAGCTATGAGAACCTGAGAGAGATTTACTAACTGCCAGGACCCACTGAAGCTTTAAACTGCTGCAGATGCATCCCTCGTCGGAGCTAAGGAGAAGCATGTGTGTGTGCATGTGCGTGTGTGTATTTCTGCTCCTACTGAAGGGAATAACCCACTCACAAATACACACAGCTTAAGCCCAGTCTACCTCTGCTTCTTTGCATCCTTTTATCAATGTCCTCTCTCTAACATTAAACTATACCATAGAAAATACTTTATCAGAAGTGCAGGAAGGAGTTGCAGCCTTTTGTGGTTTTTTTCAGCTGCCTGCAAAGTGTCAACTACCTGTAACCCTGAGATACAGGGCACTAAGCCTGTTGACAGTGACCTTACCTGCAAAGGAATGTGAGGCTGCTGAGCCTCTGAAGAACCGGTTTATTTCAATGATCCATTAGCACATGCCACACATTTAAAATTCCTAAATTGTCTTTGGTCCTCAAACATTGCCTCAAACTGAAATCAGAACCTGAGGGGAGATTTTATCCTGGGCATTGGCACAGGATAAAAGCCTGACACCAAGCCCTTGTGTCCTAATAAACTTTCCTATTTTAAAACTGGGTTCCTATCTACCTTTTTGTCACACCGCAGCAAAATACACAGAGTTAAGGACTGTTTACCTTGGTATTCATTCCCTTTGACTCAATATTTTACCATTCGCTTTGACTCAGTATTGTACCATGAGGGACAGATCGTTGGAGAAAGGAATGTTCCATTGTTTTAAAGGAATTAGTAAACTTAATACAACATTTAAAATAAATATTCATGTTAGGGAAAGTAGGCAATAAAAAGCTATTCATTAAATGAAACCACTTAAAGCAAGGAATTCCGATAGTCTGTACATATATATGTACATAATCCCAACAATACATGGCTTGTAGGCTATAGACTTCCACCCCTTCTAAAGATAGTTTTTCTACTGTTTCTCAGCTTGTTCCTTAATAAATGAAACACAAACATTTGTGCTCAGAAATCATGTCTTATTCCTTTCTCAGTAGTACTGATGTCTCCACTATAAGCACAGTAGCTGACAAATCTAGCACTTACATATATTCATGTCAGAAAGCTTATAATACATCTGAGTTTTGCTTATTTCCTTTAATGGCAAGGCAGCAAACTAAATTCCCTGGGTCAGAAGGAAGGTGGAAAGGATGCAGCACAGTGCACTGCAGGAGGTATATGCAAAGTAGCAGTGCCTGAGCTGTTTCCCAGTGTATTTCATAACACATAATCTTTTGTGTTGTAAGCCATGCAAAAGAGATCATTAAACAAGTATAAGTCAAATTTTTTCATGTTTAGGTCAACATATGAAATTATAAGCTAATTCTGTAAAAATCATAAAAGTGAACAGGATGGTTTCCATCACCGTTTACTTGTTACTTCCAGAAATCCACTTGCAAACAGTTCTACACTGTTATAATTTCACATAGTCATGAAAAAAGCTATTGTGTCTCCAGAATATCAATCCACCACTAGAATGTGTGAAGTGAAGAGGCAGATTTATGCTCACCACTTCCCTGACTTTTCACTGTTTGCAGCCTTGCATCAGCCCAGCAGCCTGTGAGTCGAGGGCAGACGGACAAGCGAGAAGGAATCTCCCTCAAGCTGACAGCAAGAGGACAAGGGCGACTCATAATGACTGCTTTTCTGTTTCAAACCTGCATGAACAACTGCAGTCTCTCAGCTTGACATGGAAGACAATGTTACTGAGATTGTGTTCCCTCTGAAAGGATGGAGAAAGAGGGAACAGCAAGGGAGGAAAGTGCTAACATCCTGCAGGCTAAAAAGTGTAGAGAGTATGCAGAGTGGGAAATAAAATGGAGAAGGAAGGCAGTCCAATAAATGGTCCAAGGAAGGAAGAAAGAGAGACAAAATAATAACAACAACAACAACAACAATAATAAAAGCACCTTCCTTGAAACACAGGGCATGATTCTGTCTGGTATTAATCAGGTAAGTTTCATTGATACCAGTTGGACTATGCCTGATTACACTAATTCCTGGTCCGGCTGACCATGGGCAATGGAAAAGGCAAAGCTTAATGAACAGCAATGAAAAACACACAGGTGTTTGGCTGGAATCTGTATTCCAGAAGTTGAATCTGCAGGTCTGAGTTTAAATCTCATTCTCTGAATTTCTACTAGCTTTTCTTTCCCCAGCCCTAAGTGAGCACTGCAGTTATCAGTACTGTGAGCCTCAAAGAGAGTCAAGACCAATCCACCCCTGAGCCACATCACATGCACAAATTGAACAACAAATAAAAAACCCTGACTTTTCCACATCATAAAAAAATGACTGCAATGGACACCAACTGCTACCCTGCCAGGAGATTCACAGAGAGGCCTCCTGCAGTAATTCCCCTCCCTGATCTGTCTGACATTGCTGGAGACCCTCTGAAAACTTTTCTCCGTGTTTTACCTCTCAGCCTGATGGCAGCTTAATTATTTTTGGTCTCTAACCTGAGTTGAACCTGATGCAAGCAAATAACATTACAAAGAAAAAAGAAAGCAAAGAGTTTGCAGAATGCTTAAAATCTCTCTGTTTGAGAAAATGTTCAGGCTCAGCAGAGCACCTGAGATGGTGGCAGGTTAGCAGTGAAGGCTGAGAGCCAGGTCCCCACGCTTTCTGCTGTCCTTAGGTGTCTGCTGTAAGTTAGGGCTCCCACCACAGCCACCTAACTTCTTTGTGCTTTAGTTCACTCATCTGTCAAATGAGTGTAATCTTTTTCTAGCTCATTGCTTTGAAACTTTGTAAAGTCATTTCAAGCCACATCAAAGAACAAAAATGCAGATACAAATGTCTAATGAGCTCACACTTGAGGGCAAAACTTTCACAGAGCCCCAGCTCGGTCAATCTTCTGGGACACACTGTGATCTTGTTTGAACAAAAACTGAACAGGGAAAATAAAACAGGTGGAGGAATGCCCTCTTAACTTACATATTTCTTAAAAGGCTGTGAAAAAGCATTGGATGAGTCAGTCAACGAAAGGTTTTGAATGACTCAGGCAGTATGACCAAGAGGAAGAAGGAAACTGTCTGCCGCCTGTTGTGCCACTGTTGTGCAACATCATCTTCCCAAGCTCACAGACACGAAGCTGCAGCCAGCGAGTCTGTGGGAGGCAAGTTTGCTCTTCTGACCAGATTATCTTTCTCCATTAGAATCTGTAGCTCATTACATGATTTTGGCTATTGCGTTACTGGAGGCTACTGTTGTCAGCAAGGGTTAGTTTTCCAAAAAGACAGCCATCATGTAACACCATGAAAACGAGTATTACAACCTTATGCTCTGAAGGCACTTACTGCATCCAGACTTTGAAAACAAGTGTTGCATCAGAAAAGAAAAGATAATAAAAAACATCGATCAACCTTATGCCACATCAGACTCATGTGGCCCACATTAATCATCTGAATAAGCCACACTAAAGTTTGAAGTGCCTTTTCATGACAGTAAGCTAGATCTCTTTACACAAAAATATATCCTATCTTGATAGGAAGGAGCTGAAAAAAATCCTATTGGTGCCCATGTCTGTTTAATGTACACAAGTTTGACCCAGACATTTAAATATTTTCATAACACCAAGAGCAATAAAAAAACCCATGCATAATCTTATGGTTGTGCAATCTGCGTGTACTTTGACCAAAGGCTTTCGTACTGCAAGCTTAAAAAATAAATATTAATCTCAGGAAAATGTTCTCATGCTGTTTTATTGCTGTTCTTAAAACTCAGATGGAAAACAATCTACCAAAGGATAAACAGAAAATGTTGAAAGCTCGGGTTCTTTAGATATAACTGAAATGAATAAAGTAATCACAGTAAAACTCCAGGGTGAATCAAAAACTTCAGAACTGAGTCCTGGCCTACCACAGAAATGGGATAATTGAAGCAGAACTCTAACCCTAAAGGCCTGAACTGAGTATGTTATCACTTATCGCATAGGGAAAAAGTATCATCAGCATCGCCCTTGTCAAATATGCAAATGAGTGATTACATTATATCCAAGTAAATTATCCCTTGGGTTTCTGTTTGGGAAGACAAAGTATACAGCACTCTTCTCTTGTAGCACTGCTCTCTACCATTAAAGACTTGCTCCTTACTCTAAATCAGCTCATTTCAGAGGGGGGCTGAAGAGTTCCCTTTGGGTGGACTAGCAAGTTTTGTTAAGTGCTTTGGAAGTCTTCAGGTTGAAAAGCATAGGAAAATAGGAGATCGTTATCATTTCAAAAGCAGGTGGAATGCTGCGAGAACAATGTCTGTCCCTCGGATTTATTTTGTTAGCTATGTAGGCAAGCGAGGGAGAAAAGCAATGTATGAACCCTGGGCATGGACCAGCAGCCCCTGTGAGCTCAGCACTTTTGTCTGGGAGTGCAAAAGAAACACTACATTTAGTTCACATTAATGTGAAAAAACGACACAGCTGCCTATACCCTCCCATGCCACATGATCAAAACCACTGGGGTTCTTGGAGCTTTACGCTTCTGTTATTCTTCACTTGCATTCAGGAACTGATTTATTACTGAGGCTATAGAGGAGGAAGAGAGGAAAAGCTAAACATTTTGTGTGCTCTGCATCTGGCAAGACATAAAACACTCCAATTTCAAGCATGAGACAGGTCACTGACAGTGACAGACATGGCTGGCTACATCTCAGTTCAGCAGCAGTAACTCATCATCCAAGCTGAGTGTAATTGTCACCAGGTGTCAAGTCCCATTGTCTCCGGCTGTGGGGCTCCAGGCTCCCAAGGAAATTATCACACGAAATTCTCCTATACAATGTGGTTTTTGCTTTTGCCGGGATGAACTGACACCAAAGCAAATCCCCTAGGCATTCCTTTTGACATTTGACAGTTAATATCTCTATCAAATCCTCCTGAGTCTCACAGAAAGCAGAGAATAAAGAAAACAAATTTCTCCTCTCAGTGGCTGAAACTTGATCACTTTTATTTAAAAGGGCTGAGAAATGCAGTAACTTAACATTGCACCAATTTCTTCTGAGGAAGACCTTGGAAGCTATTAATGTCCTGTACCCTACTCAGGAAGGATAATGCCTCCCCTCCAAGTAACTAGAAAGCAGACAATGATCCTCATCTCCAGTGTAATGCAGAAGATAAAGCAATGAATATAAAATATCAAGAGCTGCAGCTTATGTCTTTGCCCCATAATGGACCCTGTGCTGATACACAGAAGAGGATTAACAGAACATAAGAACAAGCTGAGGCATGTTAATGTTTTCAGTGAATCACAGGTGTTTGCGTGAGGCCACACTTATCACCTGAAAACAGTCAGAAGCTAATCAAAGTATAAAATGAAATGAACTGTATCTCTTGCAGAATTATGGAAATGCTAAATATCAATATTGTGCATTTTCATGCACATTTCAAATTTTCAATACATTTCCAGTATTAACTATCACTGTTACATTAAGAATCCTATATTGGTTGGAAATTGATAGCTCTTATCTTTTCCACTAATTTTTAGTAGAATTTTCCTCCAATTAACATTAGATGTTTATAGAGCATTTTAAAACAATGGCGCCACTATATAATAAATGCATAAAATTTTAATTTGAAAGTTCTGTACTAGCCTACCAAGCTATTACTCTGGCTAAACATAGTGATTTGGAAAGGAATAAAGCTAACAGAAAACCAAACCTTCTCGATTACTAAGAGTTCTTGTGGAGTTGTATAACAGTAGTAGGGACAATATCTCTTAACACTGCTGATATTTCTACAGTAGTGTACAAAGACTCTTTACTTCTGTAGGAAAGGAAGAAAATGACCGTAAAGGGTCCCAAAGTCAAGAACTGTAGCTGCATTAATTAAACTAAAAAGAAAATGTGGTTACATGTTAGGGAGGGGGAAAAAAATACCTCAAGAAGAAAGCCCTGTCCGAATTAGCTTAATTTGGTAGTTTCCAGTGACTGCAAGTAGGATCAAAGAGATCTTCAAGAACACCTTAAAACTCATTTATCAACTGCCAACCAAGAAAACAAAAATACCCAGATCAAAAACTGATGAAATTCCTAATGTAATTCATTACCCGGAGTTTCTTCTACCTTGACTATGCCTTATAGTATACTAAGCATTCACAGTACAGTAGATGGTGACCTGGTAAGGGTTTGACACAAGAACATGACTGAGGTGTTTTAGTTTTCCTATTTCCTTTCATTGAACTGCAGAACCCTGTAGGTTGGGAGGGGTCTCTAGAAGTCATCTAGTCCAATCCCCCACTCAAAGCAGGTCCAATTAGAGCAGGTTGCTTGGGGCCATGTCATGTTGGGTTTTGAATCCTCTGAGTCTCTGAGGATGGAGAATTCACAACCTCTCTGGGCCCTTGTTCCAATGTTTGATCACGCTGACGGTGAAAACCTTTTCCTCTATATCTAATTCCAATGTCCTGCATTGCAACTTGTGTCCATTGCCTCTCACCCTGACACCGAGCACCTTGAGAAGAGTCCAGATCTGTTTTTTTTTCCCATTAGATAGTTGCACCCTCCCATTAGATAGTTGTCAACAGCAATAAGGTCTCACCTTAGCTTTCTCTGAATAAACTTAATTCTCTCAGCCTCTTATACATCACATGCTACAGCCCCTCAGCTGATCTTGTTCCATTAGGTCAATGTTTTCCTTGCACTGGGGAGCCCACAACTGGGCATGGTACTCCCGACAGGAGCTGAATACAGGGGTAGAATCCATTCCAGCAACCTGCTGGCTGGATACACTTCTGCTAATACAGCACAGTATGCAGCTGGCCTCCTTCGGCACAAGGGCGCCCTGCTGATTTTGATAGTTGGGGAGGTTTTTCTAAGAGTGACGAGAGATCCTTTTAATCCTGCCCCTATAGAAGTCTGACATGCTTGTGAGACTTTTTAGCACCAGCTTCCTAAATCTATTATAACAGGATGGTTATTCCCAGCCCCATATGAGTTTGCTGGCAGACAGTTATTCTACAAGCAGAAAACAACCAGGACCCCAATAATATGTGAACCATAAAAGCAATGCAAGACATGTCTGTAATTATTTTCTGACGATCAGAGATATATTTGTTCTCCTGGAGTTCTCTCCCTTTGTTCTACTTGAAACCATCTGTAGTAAAAAAGATTAGCCTTTGTGCCTATCAATCTATAATGCCCTGTTAAGCCAGCAGGAGTTTCAGATGTGAATGAGTCCTAGAGTCTAGCCAGAGTACCACTCCACTTGTCTGCTTGAATCAGAAGAGTGTGATTCATATCTGAATATTTTAAAAAATCAAAATTGATCAGTACAAGAATCACTTGACCTGTTCCCTGCAGACTTCAGAAGCATAACACCAGATTCAAATTTGATGTAGCTAAAAACAAAATGTCGGTTATATTAGACAGAAATTATTTTAGAATACTTGGATCAAATTCTCTATGTCCATTATTGCTAGGACTCCAACAATTTGTTTCTTTTTCTCTGCTAAATACTTCCATATTTTTACTTTTTTGTGGAGTTGTTATTTCTGCCTTTGTAACGTCCTGATCAGATTGTGTTTTTCTTCAGAAGTAGCTTACACAGCATATATTAAATAATGATGATGAGAGTATACAAAATAATACAAAGCCAAATTTTGGCATTTTTACTCATGTTAGCATCAAATTCTAATGTGGAATCAAGTTGCAGACGAACCATATTCAAGAGAATTATTGCAATTTAGATCAAATACGACATACACTAGTGTTGATTTCTGTCTCAAAATTCATATCAATACATTGTATCTCTTGCACATAATTAATGTCTATAGGAAACAAAAATGCACAGAAAGTAAAAAGAGCATAACATGGATTTCTATACACATTTTTGTAGGTAGCAAATATGTTTAAACAAACATTTCTGAAAGCTATAAATTGTACAGATTGGAGTTGATTACAAATTATAATGCAGAGGAGGAAAATGACTGTTGCTAAGCTTGTCTTACCTGTTCCAAGAAACAAGACGTGGTATCTTCCATCAGCAGCATTCACTCGATCCACAGCAATCTTTGTATACTTGTAGTCGGCTCCTATCCGGATGATCAATGGCCTCTTGTGTATTGGGTAAATGGGATTAAACATCAAAGGGTGATTCCTGATGAAGGTCACAACATCATCTGGAAACTCTTTGGTTGTCCGCATATTAGGTGTGAAGGCTCCTCCTGGACACTGTAAGAAACATGCACAGCAATGCTTAACAATCTTTCAGAGAGTTTTCATCTCCAAGTCATTTACAAATATTGATAGATAGTTGACAAAGTAAGTTTCCAAACAAGCACTTCAGACTCTCACTGAAAGTAATTATGTTCCAGTAACGGGAATGAAGTGCTTGAATAGCTATGCTTTGAACTCCTATAAATTCAGATAAAGCAAACACAAATGTATTTTTGCACTTTCAAAAGCCAGCTTGATGGCAAAGATCCATACTTCTGGACCTATTTTCAAATTCTTTATGCTTCCAAACTGCCTGTTGAAAAAAAAAAAAAAAATCCAAGCGATTGCTATGGGAAGACACCAAACTTTCACAGCTAGTTTGTTATAGATTTAGTACAAAGGCAAAAGGTAAAATTTGCTATTAACTGTAATTTGGTCAATATCAATATGCCTCTAGTCATCACGTTGATTATGAGATGGCGAAAGGGCCTGTGACTCATCTTCATATGAAAAAACAATAATATGGAGTTGATGAGGGGGTCCCATGACAACTCATTTACATCTGAGAATGTAAATTGACCATTCACAAGATCTTGTCTACACTTTCCCCTATGCCCGAGAAATAACAGAGGTCCATGAATACTCTGGATGCTTCTTTACATGTAATGAAGAACCATGCAAATAATGAGCCCTGAGGCATTCTGGACCTCATGAGGAAATAAAAGCAATCTTAGAAATCTCAAGTGTTTACTGAGACTGAAACTAAAAGAAGACTGTGGGAAGAAATCAGGAGCTATGTCAGTAACTGGTACAACGTTCTGGATGTACCTATGTTAATTTACATTACTTTTTTTTCAGTCACTGTTACTGCATTTCTCATTGCTGCCCCTGAGCTTTCATTTTACCCCTTACCACATTTCTGAGCTGTGAAACTCCCCTCGGAGTGTTGGAGCTATTCAGAAATACTTCAACACAATATTTTTCCAGTTGGAAAATGTTGATTTGTTCAATACGAAGCATTTCATGGAAACTTGTTTATTTTGATGAGGACCATTCTTACATCTAGGATGGAATTTCTGGTCAAAACCACAGACACAAAAATAGCTGGTAGCTTAGGGAGAGATTTACCTCACCTGACTTCTACTGTCTCAAAGTCAGGCATTTATTCTTAGTTAGCCATCTAGGTTTCCTCTGTAGTCAGTAATTCAGACTAGATGACCTGCTTTTAGATGGCTAAAATTACATAAAATGAATCATACTCTGAGAGCCTAGGAAACTCGCTGGGGATATCTGAGTCATGTGTCCTACATACCTGATGTGAGCAAACGTTACAATCTGGGTCTTCACCCCCCAGGGGATCCCTCTAACCACCAGGCAGGAGTGCCCGTTCTACGGTCACTGCTAAAAGCTGTTCCATCTTGTGCACATAATAAACTATTCATTGGGCAATACCAGGAACAAAGTAGAGAGGGGACTGAAGCCTAATCCCAGGCTTTAGAATCATCTTCTGGCTCAATTAGGATTCAATTATTTATACAAAGTAGAACAGCTCTGGTAGGAATTCTTTAAAAGAAACTGCTCTGGCATCAGTTACCTTCAGGAAGAAGAACCAGAACTCAGCTCAGATATGGGTCTCTTTTCCCATCTGACATCCTTGACAATTGATTCTTCTGGACTCTTATTTATCATGAGGGTCTTGGTTTGGTTCTCATTAGAAATGGCACTACACTCTAGCCCTCTAAGCCCTCACAAAATTGAATTCTGATTATCTTGTTTGCTCTACTTCTTCCCTCTGTGGCACTTCCATCCACAGTCTTCCAGGAAATGTATGGAGCTATCTGCTAAGATTAGCAACAAATGCTGAAAAAAGAACTGTCTTCATAAATTTGTAGGCTATTAGCAAGATTATTCTACTTGGTACTGATCTGCCAGACCCCAGTTCCTCTCCAGAGGGATTCTGTTTCACGAGCAGTTCAAATTAAACTTTCCTGTCCTGCACAGCTCAGTTAAAAGAAGACTTTCTCTGATACTTTCTATCCTTCCATTCTTGACTTGGAGATCATAAGACCTTTGTCTGTGACTTCCTGCAAAAACATCTGTGCTATGGTTCACCCCAGTATGACCCTAAAAACTTACATTATATTGTTGTTCTGAGCAAAGCCTTAACAAACATCTTTAATCAATTAATTCTTTTGCTATCCCCTGTATAAACCAATGACAAGCAAAAGATGTTACTGAAGAACCCTATAAGCTCTCCTTTTCCTGGAGGGATTGAATGTGTATCCTTCACACCTCATTCAAGGACTTGGCTACACGATAATTATGTTCACAGTTGATCACCATGCAGTTAGATTGCAGAGAGAAACAGAATTCTTTAATTTACAGCATATTCCCCAAGATGTAGGTACAAAAACTATTTCTGTAAACTCTGAAAAATGGAAACTATCCTCAAACATCACTAAATTTAGTAGCAAGATGCCAATTATGTAATTTTTTTTTCCTTTCTTTTTCCATAAGTAAGTTTTGCTTGTGGAGAAATAAGAAACCATTGGTATTTAGTGAAGGGCAGCCAAACACTGTGGAGTTGATTACGGCCAAATGGACGTATTGCTTTATTTAATCCTACTGAAGCTATACCAAAGCCTTTTCATTGTTTATCCAATATACTGCGACACAATTAACATTCATTTCTGTCCAGAGGTTTAGTATGAATATCTCTTTAGGCAACTATAAAGTAGGATTTTCCATGTGTTATAAAAAGGCATCCCTGTCTAGTCCAGCATCCCAGAAGTTGCAAAAAAACTATGTTCCAGAGGAAAGAGCCTCGTGCCCCACAGTCTGCAAGCGTGGCTATTCAAAGTTAACCCTTTGAACACAAATTCTGAGCAGCAAAAAAATCCCCATGTCCTGATTTTTACAGATGCTTTGAAATAAGTGAAAAATAGTGTTTGTGGCATGCATTTAAAAGTGGAACTTTTTGGCAGTAAAATAAAAGCTAAGCCAAACAAGTCCCAGCTTAAAAAATACCCCTTTAAGATACTGTGTTGTGGCTGAGTTGTGAGGAAGAACAGAAAAGCCAGTGATCAGAAAACCAGCAATGATCATCTTAAAAGCATCTTTTTTGGCTTTGTTTTTTGTGTGAGCTATGATCTAAGAATTTATCTTCAAATTCAGAGCTCATCGGCACATCTGAAAAATGTAGATAATTTCTGTCACCATGTTAAATCCAAATCTGAATTGTCTTTTTCCCTTTCCATTGTGCTGCCCAGTTTCTTTAGGCCCATCTGGAATACCTCACAAGCCTCCATGAGGCGAACCAAGAATAACATGGCAGTGGTTGGGAAAACACATACAAATACAGTATTTTGAAGCAGCAAGAAACTCTGAAATGTGACTAATCATAAGAGCGTGAAACTTCCTGTTTAAATGGGCCATTTATGTTCTTTTTTTGTAAAGTTTAAGCTTAAAGCCTCAGTGAACTAATGAGATTAGAGCTGTATGAATTAATTGCAAAGAAAGAATAATGCTAGCATTAGACCTTAGTGGAATATCAGGTATTGATTAGCTAGTTCTAGAGATCTGGGAACATGAAGTCCTAAAGCTTACAGCCAGCAATAACTGCACTAAAATGTCATGAAGAATTGTGTGAACAGGGAGAGCTGTTCCATGTATCTGTGCATTAGGGTACAAGAGAGAAAGAAAGAGAAAGAGCAAGATCTACAGCACAAAGACGAATATGAATGAAACAGTGATATGGTTAAAGGTTCTTGCAGTGACTTGCAAAATTAAAATAAAATTTAATTTCCTGTGATAAATGGAAAAGCAACAAAGTGTTCACCTAAAAAAAATTATAACTACATCATTGAGAGATGATTTATGATTCTGTGCATAACATTTAATTCTGATACTCAAGAAATTGTAACAAGAATTCATAGGAGTCAACGGAAGTCCACACTACCACACTTCATTTAGCAAATATGGAATCAGAGAAGATTCTAGAGAAAGTTCATATATTCTTCATTAAAGCTGGAAATATTAGACTTTGTACTTCTGCTAAATCTGAATTAAGAATAATGCAAATAAGTAAATAAAGAAATAGACAAAACTGCATCAACAGCAATTTTTATACACCATAAAGGTGAAAAAAAACCCAATTCTGTTTAAAATCTTTCATGGGACATTTTTGTAAAACTTGGAAACAGAGCTAGCTCTAACAGTGTACAGAATTTATTGGAAGATTATTACTACCCTTGATACAGGGAAAGAAAGTCTTGAAAAATTTTCAAGGCATACAAAAAGCATTCTTAACAAGGAGGACTACTATGAACTGATGGGCATGAAAACTCATCTATATCTAGGTGTCTCATCTAAGATTCAGTACCTGACAGGGTATTAGACCTAATCAAATGACAAGTCCCGGAAGCCTTGTTCTCCTACTACATCTCCCAGGAATCCCAATAGAGCTGCAAAACTTCAGAGAACTACAGAAAATCCATACAGACTGAAGACAGTCTTACAGACATTTGGATCCAGACTGTAGAACACACTCACAACGCTGTCTTTGTACACTTATTTATTTAGCTATCTTTTGCTCAAACATACACACAAAATGTAAATGTACATGTAAACAATATGTCTGCCACCTAATGAAATAATTCTTACCACCTTTTGAGCAGAAAGAGCAAGAGCGATTAACATTTTGCACAACTTTTAATTCTCTAGATTTCCAGATACTACATGATTTGTATGGCAAGCTGAGAAGCAAATAAAATTGTTCTGAACTGTAACTAAATGCCATAGTCACATACAGTCCATTATCCTGGATTAAATAATATTTATTTATGTATTAAACAAAGACAAGTAATTGGCAAGCCTGCATAAACATCTTTGTACTTACGGTGCCAGGTCGCGGGTACGGAATTCTGCCCTGATATGGAATCAGCTGGTGGTTTGGGCCCTCCTTGTGTGCAAATGGCCCATTGAACACGGTCTGGATGTCAGATAGATGATACACACACACGGCTGAGCCTTTAAATATGGAGCTGGAAGACAGTAGGAACAAGTTAGTATTGTAATCTACCAACTTTTGTATAGCTTTTCCATCATTTTGCATGGTCCAATAATGAAAGATACCTCTAAAAGAATATATTTAATACAATTTAATGCTTCTATATAGCATGGATTTAATACATTTAAAATCAACTAATTTAGCTTCCCAATATAATCCATTACTCCTTAAGACCTAGCACCTTTTTGGACAGTGAACTGAAAAAAGAGGGAGGAAGGTACTACCCTACTGGTAGAATAAGAAAGTTTCCTAATGTTGAATATAAAAGAAATGTAATCTGGCCCCAGTTAAATCAATGGCAAAAATATTGCTGACTTCAGTGAGACAAGAGTTTTATAAACTTTGTACTGCCAAGCTCAGCACAGGTTTCCAGAACTCCCTACCAGTGTATTAACCACAAGACCTCCATGAGCCTCCTAAAATACATGGCTAAAATATTAATCAAAACATCCAGTGCATTTACAATTGGTTAGATTATTACAATCAGTTGCCAGCTTTTCTAAGCAAAATGGGGACAGGTTGTGGCTGTAAAGGAATTACTCCTATACAGTCCTCAAATCCACCCACAAAACTGGTCTTACAAAGACCCCTTCAAAAGGGTTGAAGTTTGATGCTTCCTGAGGAGAACCCAGGGGGTCATCTATGAGAAGGGCATGTTTTTCCACTGCTCTGGGTTCAGCAATGGTCTCAGATGTCTCCTCAGCCAGCACAAGCCCTGAATGGCCTCCATCACACCGTGATGATGGAGGGCACTAGTGGAATAATTTCCAGAGTGATGCTAAGGCTGATTGGAGTGAATTAACTCCTTTTTTTTTTCTCTCAATACATTTAAGGTTTGGGATATATATCTTAACAAAATGGAAACTCCAGACAGTCTGAAATCTGCCTGATGTTAACTGTAGGATGAAGATAATCCAAGTAACCCTCTGTTTTCAACTGAAAAAGAAAAAACAAATTCCAGAAAAAAACTGAATACATTACACATAGTGTCTAAACAAGGAAAGTGCAATCCACATAGCTCTCAGCTATATATGGATTAGCAGGACAAACCTTTTAAATGGATTACGGTATTTGTGGAAATTTAATAGGTTTTAAGAAATGTATTTAATCTTTCCAGATGGTTTATGTTAGATTTACAGCAGATTATGCCACCAAAATAGTTTGCTTCAATATTACTTGGTTTCCTTCTGTATGGCTTAAATAAAAGTACTAGTAGTTATTATTTGGTAGGATGTTTCTCTCTTGCTACTGTTATGAGTTGGAAGTCTACAGAGGTGAAGATAAAGGAACTTCTAAGGAGTAAAAATCATTATGATTGCTGTATTTAACTAGGTAACAGATCCAATCTATAGTCAAACAAAGGGAAAGAAAGCATAGACCATGTGGTTCATGATAACAGAAATGCATGAGTGTAAAAACTTCAGTAGCGAGAGAAAACAGCTTGAGAGCCAGGAAAAAGTGGCGTTTTCTCTTTGTTGTCACCTTATATGGTCCTGTGATTCAAATCTCATTTCCACTGCAGGAATACCAGGAGAATTAGGTAAAAGTGTTTCCAGTTCAGGCATGTTGCATCCACAACCTAATCGTAAGTGTGGTTTTACTGCTAAACATAATCTCAGCATTTTCTCTTTTTGTGCTGTAGGAATCATAAAATGTAGACAGCACCAGATGTCTACAAGTTATGGGATTCTTTTTTTCCCAATTAAATATCATAAAATCATGTTTTCCTGGCTGGTTCACACATTTGAGAAAGCAGATCCCTGGACCACATGAAAAAAGACAGAAAAGTGTATCAGGAAAAAATATTTTTTCATGCAAGGATTTTTTTACTAGAAATTGCCATTAATTGCCATCAAAGAATTTGCTAATTTGATCAAATAAATTAAATGAAATAAAAAAATAAGCAAAAAACCTCTTTGAAGTTAAGTAATAACAGCTAAATAATACAGGATAGCATATCAGAAATCAGTAAGCAGTAACTATTTCTACTCTGTATACTAGCGCTCTGTGATGAGGGCAAGAGAAAAGTGAAAAAATGAAGATAAAGATGGCAGAATCTGTTGGTCCACCTGTCGGTCTATCTTTGTGGAGAGTTTCAGCATAGTAAGCCATATGTAGTACTTCCACTGCCCTTGGGAGCCCTCTGAATGCTTTCTAAACTGTACAGTAAGTGAATACTACTGACTGACAACAGGGAGCTTAAGGCTGCAAGGAGGTGATCAAATGCCATGTAAGCTTGTCTTTTTGTAGCCAGCTGAAGCTGACATGGGTTATTTGCCATCTGTGTGATCATCTGCCAGCTGAGAGACTGGAAATTATTTGTATGAATTCGTGTAAGAATTCCCAGTTTGATCCTTCAGGGTGCTGGATGTCCTTCAGGAGGCGTTAAGTGCTCTCAGATGCCACATGAGTTCACTGCATTGAAGTCGTTTAGCTTTCCGCTGCTGAACAGTAGCAAGTGGCCCTCCACAGAAATGTTTTCCCAGTGCCAGCTGACAGTATGTCAGGGAGCAGTGTGCCCCAAGCAGCATAGCTCTAACATGGATACCAACAGTAATGATACTGAGACTGTTACTCCTGCTTGCAAATGATGGCCACAGGAGATGTACAAAATTGCACGGAACAGCCTTGACGACAAACCATCGCTTTTAGTTTTCATATAGAAAATTGGGCAGTTCAGGAAGGTGATTTTTTTCAAATCTCCCCATTTACCTTGATGTTGTAAAAATTCCATACACAAGCGTTGTTCTGGGGTTATCTGTCTCTAAAAGAAACACATCCTCTGTAAGAAAGAAAAGGAAAAAGAAAAAACATTTTCAATATTAATAAAAACTTTATTTTCTGGTTTAATTTATGACTTTTT